CTCCTGGGAACACTGTGCCAGCAGCACCTGGGAGGGCGGGCGGGTAGGGAGCTCACAGTCTGAGTTCCCCTGAATCAGGTGTAGAGTCCCAAACGGGAAGGTCCCGTTCCCTGGAGGTGCCTCCGGCTGGTGGCTGTATTGTCTCTCTGGGCAGCCGCGGGTAGGGTCGGCGGAGGGGAGGAGGAGGCAATATGGCGCCTGCCTCGCGGCTCGGGTCTGTGCACACGGAGGTGCCCGGAGGAAGTTGGGAACCTGGTGCCATGTCAGCCACAGGCTCACCGTTGGCAGGCAGCAGCGGTCTCTGGGCTAGTGTCCGCAGGTCTCTCCACCCACTTGGGAGCCCACCAGCAGTCCGGAATGCAGGGGAGGGGAAACAGCAAATCCACCTACCCTTGCCGCTGGTCTCCGGGCTGCTCCGGTGGTCTCAGCCTCTAGTTCTCCTCCGCAGCCTCCTCCCCTGGAGTCTCCCGGGGTCTCAGGTACCCCTCTTTCCGACCCTCGTCCACTGTATGCTCGTCTTCTTGCTTCTTTCTTCTAATTTCTGCTAGAATCTGTCTTTTCTGCAGAGACACTCTGTCTGGCGGTGTTTCTCGTCCACCATCTTGATTCCTCTATCCCGGGCAGGTTATTATCAGGCATTGGGCTGGGAACTCTATCACCTAAACAGAGATACAGGATGGGGTTTAATCTGAGGATCAAGGGAAGATCTGATGAACTATTAATAGGAGAGGTATATAAAGTCCCAGCAGGACCACACCCTCAGGAGAAGGGGTGGGGCACAGAGTTACTGTCTGAGAAACCTAGCCATCCTCAAGTTGCCAAGGGTGAGGTGCAGGGCTAACAGCAGAGTTTCTCCAAGATGTGTCCCTGTGCTACTTGTATCATATTCACCTGAGACACTTTAGAAACATGCCGATTCTGGAGCCCCACCCCTGACCTAGCAAATCAGAATCTCTAGGGGAAGGCCTAGACAGCTGCATTTTTCCTAAGCACTCCTGGTGACTCTGACATGCACTAAATTTGAGAACCAGTGCTCTAGAGACAGGAACAAGGTGTGGCTTGCAAGTAAGCAGGAAGGCATAGTGATTAAGGCACAGACCCTGGAGCCAGACAGCCCAAGTTAGACTTCTGGCTCTACTACTTATTATCTGTGCAACCTAAGGCAAGTGGCTTAACATCTCTGGGCCTCAGTTTCTTCTTCTGTAAAGCAGAGATAATAATGGTGCCTATCTCAAAGGGCTATTGTCAGGATTAAATGAGAATTTATGAGCAAAGCATTCAGAATAGTGTCTGGCATCTAGGAAGCATCATGCATACATACGTGTTAGTTATTATTAGTGGCTGAGTAGACCTGCTGGGGATAAAAACGACCAGTTTAGGCCCTGATGGGTATCCATGGCCTCTGTCCTTAAGTAGGGTGGACTAAAGTAGAACTCCCAGAGCAAGTGGTGGTGGGCTTGTTGCATCAGAAGTCATGAGGATGATTAATAAAAGGGATAGTCTTTATTTATTTTTTTTTTTTTTGAGACAGAGTCTCGCTTTGTTGCCCAGGCTAGTGTGAGTGCCGTGGCGTCAGCCTAGCTCACAGCAACCTCAAACTCCTGGGCTCGAGCGATCCTTCTGTCTCAGCCTCCCGAGTAGCTGGGACTACAGGCATGCGCCACCATGCCCGGCTAATTTTTTTTATATATATATCAGTTGGCCAATTAGTTTCTTTCTATTTATAGTAGAGACGGGGTCTCGCTCTTGCTCAGGCTGGTTTTGAACTCCTGACCTTGAGCAATCCACCCGCCTCGGCCTCCCAGAGAGCTAGGATTACAGGCATGAGCCACCGCGCCCGGCAGGGATAGTCTTTAAATGTATGGGTGATCATGTTTGGCTTGGAGAGGCTAAGAAAATGGATATTGTTCATTAAGCTCTAATTAGCAAGTAGATTGTACAAGGGGAAAGGAGTCCAAGTGTTACTACGAGTAATTAATGTGCTGCTTCTCTCTCTGGTCACTGTTTGATTTGAACCATCTAACCTGTAGTCTTTATCAGGCATTAAGATCCTGGAACTACTGGCTGCTAATTATTTTGGTGAGCCCCTGATTGCACTAAAGGAAATGGATGCGTCCTGCTCTCTCTAATGACTCAAGCACAGGGAGAAGATAAAGTGATTCTAAGCATGATGAATTAAGCCTGGAGGAATTGGAGTGGACAATCCTTCTCTTTGTTCATTTAACAAATGTGAACAGTGTCTCCAAGTTGGTAAAGTAAATGTGACCAGACATAGTCTGATAAGGAAAAACCCAGCACCTGTCCCAACTGCTCTTGAGTTGGCTGATGTCATGACCTGGCTGGCTCTCAGTTGCAGTGATTTGATTCCTGCCTAAATCCCTGTTCAGTTCCTTTGAGGATTCAGCCTTACCCCTGGAGTCCTGGCCCTACCTTTGGCCTTGAACCAGACCTCCCTTAGCCTAGCCTGGCCCCATGCTCTGTTGAAAGCCAGCTTCCCCTGCTTGAGCTTAGCCAGCCACCTGTGCACTTGGGGTCTGATGTGTTTCTAGGCCAACCATTGTTCATGCTTCCATTCTGACTGATGTCAAGAAATTCAATTGTTCTTTCTGTGGAAAAGATACAAACCGTGTCAGTGAAGTATCTTGGGGATGGAGGAGCAGTGAAAAGCAAGTCACTTTGTATGTTCTTTTCCATCTGACACACTCATGGTGGCCTGGGGTGCTGGGGAGTGCTCACTGGGTGGCTTCTGCCAGGAATTAGAGACTAGAGGCAAAAGAGCCACTAGAGCATGCTGGAGCCTTGGCCCCTGAGCATGCTGTATGAAGAGTCTTTGATCTCCCAGAGAGTTCCTGTTTTTGATGGAAGTGTAACAGAATAGAGTTTAGGCAGAATATTAGAAACTTTCATCATCATCATTATCAACATAATATCTAGTGTTGTTGAATGCTTACCCTGTTCCTAGTGGTGTTCTAAGTGCTTACATGTAGTATCTTTTTTAACCCTCCTATCAACCCTATGAGGAGGCACTATGATTATCTGCATTTTATAGTGAGGTAACTGAGGCAGAGAGAGAGAGAGAGAGGCTAAGTAACTTGCTCAAGGTCATACATATGGCCAATAACTGAGCAGGGTTCAAGTTCATTTTTACTTTCAAGAATTGAACCAAATGTAGTTCCCATTCATTAAACACTTGCTTGGTGCTGGGATGGAAGCAGCATGGGAGGGGCAGGGCATGGAGTGGGCACAGCAGCTACAGGCTCCTGTGTACCTTCCCATGAAGAGGTAGACATCTCCAAAGGTGTGGAAAAGAATAGAGAATATCCCACTTATATTAAAACCAAAAGACATTTTCACTCTCATTGGGGTTGTACCAAATTCTCAATGTGCCAGTTTTATATATTAGAGCATCAACCAATGGTCTAATATGGCTTTAGCAAATGACCTGGTAACTTCAGAGAAGCATTGGCCAGACAAGGCGGAGTGCTTAGGACAGCCCTTGGCTGTCCAGGCCTACCTGCAGGAGAGTGGAGGTATGAGCTGGCACTAACAGACCTGCTTATCTATCTTGGGCCAGGGCTGACTGGGGCTAAAAGAGAACCCAACATATTCATAGCAGCATCACTCATAATAGTCAAGAAGTGGAAAGAACTCAAGCATCTATTAATGGATGGATGAACAAAATGTGGTCTATCTACATAATGGAATATTATTCAGCCATAAAAAGGAATGAAGTACTGATCTGTGTTATTACACTGATGAAGTTCAACACATTATGCTAAGGGGAAAAAGCCAGACACAAAAGGCCACATATTGTATGATTCTGTTTATGTGAAATGTCCAGATAGGCAAATCTATAAAGGAGACAGAAAGCAGATTAGTGGTTTCTAGGAGCTGGGGAATTGGTGGGAGTGGAAAGTGACTGCTAATTGTTATGGGATTTCTTTTGGAGTGATGGAAATATTCTGAAATTAGATAGTGATGATGGCTGCACAACTTTGAATATACAAAAAATTACTGAATTGTACAACTTAAAGGATGAATATTACCATATGTGAATTATATCTCAATAAAAACAAACAGAAAGAAAAACCAGAGCAACAACAATAAGAAAAGAGAACACAGAGTCTATCCTATCAAGTCCCAGAGCAAAACATATCTTACAAAGCTGGGTTGTAGAAAAAAGACCCTGGGCTGAGAGGGGATCCAGCCTGTATTTAAGCCTGGGATCCTTCACTAACCTTGGCATGACCTTGGTCAAGCCCTTTCACCTCTATGGGCCTCAATTTTTCCATCTGTTTAATGGTATTGTTGAGAGAAAAGATATTTCCAATTAGCTTTTTAAAACTATAAAATGCTTATTTAAAACTACACTCACTAATTACAGGCAAGGTATTATTATAGTGCTTGAGGGTTAAACAGAAAGCCTAGAAAGTTTGATAAAAGGCAGCCTTCCACCATTGCTGCCATTCCTGAGTTGAAACTGCTCGCTTGCTCTCTCATTTCTCTGGGAGTGCCCCAGGTCTCCTTTATTAGGGTTCTATATCTTAATGACTTTTAAATCTCAAATAAAGTGTTTCTATCACCCCAGTTATTAGGCCTTCCTAGCAGGCCTTTTCGAAAGAGACCATTAAAAATCCTTTGGAATCTTAAACTATACACACTGTATTCTACCCAATAAATTGTTCCCCCCTTAACTGTTTCAAAGTAATTGAACTTACTGCACACAAGACTTGTTCTGCCCTTGGCAACAGGGACTGTTTCTCTACCTCGTATGCATCTATGGAACTGATTCCATGTCTGTTTTTCTAAGCACTAGGGAAATGTTCAGAGCCTTTAGTAAGACGAGTCCATAAAAGTTAATTTAACCAGATGCAGAATTCTCTCCCTCTAGATTATTAAAATATTCACCTCTTCCAAGCTTGTCTAGTATTGAAAAATCCAAGTCCCACTACGTCATGGTCAAGCAGTGTCCAAACAGGGGCAGAGGCCAGGGGAGCAGCTCTCAGTTCATCCTCTCTCTCCTGCCTATTCCTCAATCCCAGGGAAGTCCCGGCCACTGGACTTCCCAGTGCCTGGGAGCACCCTCAGATCTAGGGCCACCTCACCTCAAAAGTACACCACACTGGAGCATAACAATGCCTTAAGGAATTTGCAAGCTATCCTTATAGGCTTGTTTCATGTGGGGAGAGTCCAAATGCTTGTTTTCCTTTTTTCCTTCAAATTTATTTTGTTTGTTTATTTTAATTTAAAACCGCTCCTTCCCGCAAGTGAAAGGATCCAAACCCTTGGGAACCAACCGGCATAAACAGCCTGACATGGATCCTACAAAATACTACATGGCGTGGAGGGGCTTTGGGCTGCTGGTCTCTTTTTCTGGCGGGCAGTTGTGTAGGGAGGCCAGCAGAGCCGGTTCTTGGGCTGCCTTTATGGGAAAATACTGGCTGAGTCCAGCGGTACGAGAGCACAGGACTAGGGTCCTCCAGCCAGTGAGGAGCAGTGAGATAATGAATGTGAAAAGGCTCCTGGAAAGAGACTGTAATTCGTGCCTGATTTATTCTCCTCTGTCTTTCCCCCTTTTTCCCTCCCCTGATATATTTTTCAGGCAACATCTTTGTGGTCAGCCTCTCTGCAGCAGATATGCTGGTAGCCATCTATCTCTACCCTCTGATGCTGCATGCCATGTCCGTTGGGGGATGGGATCTGAGCTACTTCCAGTGTCAGATGGTCGGGTTCATCACAGGGCTCAGCGTGGTTGGCTCCATCTTTAATATCGTGGCAATCGCCATTAACCATTACTGCATCTGCCACAGACTCCAGCACGAGTGGATCTTCAGTGTGCGCAATACCTGCATCTACTTGGTTGTCACCTGGATCATGATCATCCTGGCTATCCTGCCCAACGTGTACATTGGCACCATCAAGTATGATCCTCACACCTACACCTGCATCTTCAACTATCTAAACAACCATGTCTTTGCTATGACCATCATCTGCATCCATTTCATCCTCCCTTTCCTCATAGTGGGTTTCTGCTACATGAGGATCTGGATCAAAGTGCTGGCCGCCGGTGACCTGGCTGGGCAGAATCCTGACAACCAGTTGGCTGAGATTCACAATTTTCTAACCATGTTTGTGATCTTCCTCCTCTTTGCAGTGTGCTGGTGCCCTATCAATGTGCTCACTGTCTTGGTGGCTGTCAGTCCTAAGGAGATGGCGGGCAAGATCCCCAACTGGCTTTATCTTGCAGCCTACTTCATAGCCTACTTCAACAGCTGCTTCAACACTGTGATCTACGGGCTCCTCAATGAGAATTTCCGACGCGAATACTGGACCATCTTCTATGCTGTGCGGCACCCTATCCTGTTCTTCTCTGGTGTCATCACTGATTTTCGTGACACGCATGAGGCCTGCGCCCATGACCAAGCCCGTGACCAAGCCCTCGCCTGCGTCTGTCCTGCTGTGGAGGAAATCCCAATGAGTGTCTGGAATGTTCCACTACCTGGCGATGCTGCAGCTGGCCACCCTGAACGTGCCTCTGGCCACTCCAAGTCTCATTCCAGGTATGCCTACCGAAAATCTGCCTCTAGCCACCACAAGTCTGTCTTTAGCCACTCCAAGCCTACCTCTGGTCACCCCAAGTCTGCCACTGTCTACCCTCAGCCTGTGTCTGTCCACTTCAAGGCTGACTCTATCCATTTGAAGCCTGCCTCTGTCCATTTCAAAGATGACTATCCATTTCAAGCCTGCTTCCAGCCACCCCAAGCCAGTCACTGATCACCATATCTCTGCTAGCAGCCACTCCAAGTTTGCCTTCAGCTCTGCCACTAGCCACCCTAAATCCGCCATTAGCCACATCAAACCTACTACCAGCCACCCTGAGCCCAGCACTGCTGACTATCCTGAGCCTTCCATCCCTGGTCACCTCGAGCCTGCCACCCCCAGCCACCCTGAGCCCACTACTGCTGGCCTCCCTGAGCTCTCCACCTCCCAGTTCCCTGACATTGCTGCCACCAGTTACCCTGAGTCTGACATCACTGACCTCTCTGAGCCTGCTGCCAGCCAGCTAGAGCTTGCCATGTCTGCTGACCTTTGTGACCCTATTGTAATCACCACTGCTGCCAGTGATTACCGACAGGTTGTGGTTATCGATGTCGAAGATGATTCAGATGAAATGGCTATGTGAAAAGTGCTCTGATAGGTGGCCTGGAATTGGTCCACTTTCCAGTTTCTTTTGCATATGTAATCCAAAGTGACATACCTTAACTGCATCTATACACACACAGACACATGAAGACACTGACCCACAGACATGTTGCAAGCTACATCCACCTTTCAGGCATACTCCTCCTTTATGTAATGTACTCTACAGAAGTGAGTGTATATGTGTGTGTGCTTGCTATTTTAGAGACCAAATTCTCTCAATTTTGACATCTGTTGTTCTGAGCCTTCCTTTCCTAAGGTTGACCTTCAGTCCTCAATGAAAAAGAGAATACTATCTCCACTTCTGTTCAACATAGTGTGGATGTCTTGGCTACAGCAATCAGACAGGAAATGAATCAAATGTATCCAAATAGGGCAGAAGAGATCAAACTTTCACTGTTTGCTGATGATATGATATTGTATCTAGAAAACCCCAAGGATTCAACCAAGAAACTCCTGGAACTGATCATTGAATTTAGTAAAGTCTCAGGATACAAATCAATACATAAGAATCAGAGGCATTCATATACGCCAACAACAATCTAATTGAGAACCAAATCAAAGACTCAATTCCCTTCACAATAGCAACAAAGAAATTAAAGTACCTAGGAATATATTTAACCAAAGAGGTAAAAGACCTCTACAGGAGAAACTATACACTGAGGAAGGAAATAGCAGAGGATGTAAACAGGAGAATCCATACCTGCCTGATCGGCAGACTCAATATCATCAAAATGTCTATACTACCAAACTGATCTACAGATTCAATGCAATACCTATTAAAATCCCATCAGCATTCTTCACAAGATATAGAAAAAATAATTTACGCTTCGTATGGAACCAAAGAAGACCCCGAATATCAAGAGCAATTCTAGGCAACAAAAACAAAATGGGAGGCATTAATATGCCAGATATCAAACTATACTACAAAGCTGTATAATTAAAACAATATGGTATTGGCACAAAAACAGGAATATCGACCAGTGGAACAGATGTGGAATCCTGATATAAAACCATCCTCTTAAAGCCATCTCATCTTTGACAAAGCAGACAAAAACATACGCTGGGAAAAGAATCTCTCTTCAATAAATGGTGCTGGGAAAACTGGATAGCCACCTGTAGAAGGCTAAAACAGGACCCACACCTTTCACCTCTCACAAAAACCAACTCACACTGGATAACAGACTTAAACCTAAGATATGAAATTATTAGAACTCTAGAGGAAAAAGTTGGAAACACTCTCCTAACATGTGGCCTGGCAAAAGAGTTTATGAAGAAGTCCCCAAAGGCAATCACAGCAGCAACAAAAATAAATAAATGGGACATGATCAAACTACAAAGCTTCTGCACAGCCAAAGAAATAGTCATGAAAGTAAACAGACAACCTACAGAATGGGAGAAAATTTTTGCATCCTATGCATCCGATAAGGGACTGATAACTAGAATATACTTAGAACTCACGAAAATTAGGAAGAAAAAATCAAATAACCCATTAAAAAGTGGGCAAAGACTTGAACAGAAATTTTTCTAAAGAGACAGAAGAATGGCCAACAAACATATGAAGAAATGCTCAACATCTTAATCATCAGGGAAATGCAAATCAAAACCACAATGAGATATCACTTAACCCCAGTGAGAATGGCCTTTATCAAAAAATCTCCAAACAATAAATGCTGCGTGGTTGCGGAGAGAGAGGAACACTCCTACACTGCTGGGGCTGCAAACTAGTTCAACCTCTGTGAAAGCAATATGGAGAATACCTTAAAGGATACAAGTGAATCTACCATTTGATCCAGCAATCCCATTCTGGGCATCTACCCAAATATTCCACACTCTACAAAAAGACACCTGCACTCGAATGTTTATAGCAGCAAATTCATAATTGCAAGCTGTGGAAACAGCCCAAGTGCCCATCAATCCAAGAATGGATTAATAAAATGTGGTATATGTATACCATGGAGTACTATTCAGCTCTAAGAAACAACGGTGATATAGCACATCTTTATATTTCCTGGTTAGAGCTGGAACCCATACTACTAAGTGAAGTATCCCAAGAATGGAAAAACAAGCACCAGATATATTCTCCAGCAAACTGGTATTAACTGAGTAGCACCTACGTGGACACATAGGTACTACAGTAATAGGGTATTGGGCAGTGGGGAGGGGGAGGGGCGTATATACATACATAATGAGTGAGATGTGCACCATCTGGGGATGGTCATGATGGAGACTCAGACTTTTGGGGGAGGGGGGAAATGGCATTTATTGAAAGCTTAAAATCTGTACCCATAATATGCCAAAATAAAAATATATATATATATATAGTAATATATATATATATATAATACTCACAGCAAAAAAAATAAAATAACTTCAGGTAAAAGACAAAGAGGGTCATTATATAATGGTGAAGGCACAGTCCAACAGAAGAGATAACAATTTTAAATATATATGCACCAACTTAGGTGCACCCAGATTCATAAGCAAACTTACTGGAGCTAAGCAAATGGATTAATAGCAACTCCATAATCGCCGGGGATTTCAACACCCCACTGACGGCACGAGACAGATCCTCCAAACAGAAAAATTAATAAAGAAATAATGGACTTAAACAAAACTCTAGAACAATTGGGTCTGATGACATTTACAGAACATTCTACCCAAAATCCACTGAATATACGTTCTTCTCATCAGCTCACGGGACATTCTCTAAGATTGACCATATCCTAGGACACAAAGAAAATCTCAAGAAATTTAAAAAAATAGAAATCATACCATGTACCTTCTCAGACCACAGTGGAATAAAACTAGAAATCAACCCTAACAGAAACTCACATTCTACACAAAAACGTGGAAATTAAACAACCTCTACTAAATGATTACTTCGTAAATGGAAGAAATCAAGACGGAAATAAAAACTTCTATGAAGAAAACGACAATGGAGAGACAAGTTATCAACTCCTCTGGACACAGCTAAAGCAGTTCTGAGAAGAAAGTTTATCTCCATAAATGCCTATAACCAAAAGACAAGAAGATCACAATTAGACAATCTAATGAAACGACTCAAAGAGCTGGAAAAAGAAGAACAGACCAACCCCAACCCAGCAGAAGAAGTAAATCAACAAGATCAAATCAGAACTAAACGAAATTGAAAACAGGAAGCTATTCAGGAGATTAATAAAACAAAAAGTTGGTTCTTTGAAAAAATAAACAAGATTGACACGCCATGGCTAAGCTAACGAAAGCAGAAAAGAGAATCTCTAATAAGTCTCCATCAGGAATAAAAAAGGAGATATCACAACTGATCCCAAAGAATACAAGATACAATTTATGAATACTACAAAATCTTTATGCACACAAACTGGAAAATATGGAGGAAATGGACAAATTTCTAGAAACACACAGCCTCCCTAGGCTCAACCAGGAAGAAATAGATTCCCTGAACAGACCAATCTCAACAGCTGAAATAGAAACAGCAATTAAAAATCTCCCTAAAAAGAAAAGTCCCGGTCCAGATGGCTTCACACCTGAATTTTACCATACTTACAAAGAAGAACTAGTACCTATCTTGCAGAAACTATTCCACAACCTCGAGAAGAACGGGGAACCTCCCGACACCTTTTATGAAGCGAATATTACTCTGATACCAAAACCAGGAAAGGAATGCAACAAAAAAAGAAAACTACAGACCAATATTCCTAATGATATAGATGCAAAAATTTTCAACAAAATCTTAGCTAACCGAATACAGACACTTATCAAAAAAATAATCACCACGACCAAGTGGGCTTCATCCAGGGATGCAGGGATGGTCAACATACGTAAATCTATAAATGCAATTCACCACATAAACAGAAGCAAAACAAAGACCACATGATTCTTTCAATAGATGCAGAAAAAGCTTTTGGAAAATTCAACACCCTTTCATGATAGAACACTTAAAAAATAGGCATAGAAGGACAACCTAAAAATGATACAAGCCATATATGACAGACCCATAGCCAATCATACTGAATGGGAAAGATTGAAATCATTCCCACTTAGAACTGGAACCAGACCAGGCTGCCCAATGGAGCTGAGACCACCGGAGCAGCCCGGAGACCAGCGGCAAGGGTAGGTGGATTTCCTGTTTCCCCTCCCCTGCATTCGGGACTGCTGGTGGGCTCCCCAGCGGGTGGAGAGACCTGCGGACATCAGCCCAGAGACTGCCGCCGCCTGCCAACGGTGAGCCTGTAGCAGACGTGGCACCAGGTTCCCAACTTCCTCGGCACCTCCGTGTGCACGGACCCGAGCCACGCGGCAGGCGCCATATTGCCTCCTCCTCCCCTCCGCCGACCCTACCCGCGGCTGCCCAGAGAGACAATACAGCCACCAGCCGGAGGCACCTCCAGGAACGGACCTTCCGTTTGGGACCCGCCCTCCCTCCCAGGTGCTGCTGGCACCGTGTTCCCAGGAAAACGGTGCCGACTCAGAGGCTGAGAGACATAGACCCAGCTTGGGCTCCCTGTGGGTGAATTAGGACCGGAAATCCTCTCCCTGGTGGGAATACACTTGGAACTCTGGGACCCAGAGGTCGGACCTGCAGACCAGATCCCCTGCACCGAGGGCTAGCATTGCCCGGGGCACAGAAGGGTTTTACGTGAACAGCCTACTGAGGGCTGTGTGCCTCCAGGGGCGGATCGGCGCCCTAAAGGACAACGCTCCTCCCAGGAGGAGGCCGTGCGCCAAACCCAGGTGGCGTTCCTGTGCAGGGAACCTCCCCACCGGCACCACAGTCCGGGGAGGCCGGGTGTCTTGTGGTCTGGCCTGCTGGCAGAGGCCCAGGAGTAGCTGCAGAGTTGGGAGGGTGGAAAGAAGCGAGGCTTGCTGCAGACTGGGTCTCAGACAGCCCACCCCCACACCCAGACTTTCTGGCTGAGCGGACCATTCCAGCCCCGCCCTGACAGCTTTCCCTGGAAGCTGAGAACAGCACTTTGACCCCTG